ACGCTGGTACAAACAACTACCATGTGGAAAACAACTTTGTGGTAAGCAGATGGAAAATTTATTCTAGTAAAATATTTGAGCTTGATGGATAAAATTTTACATGCCAGTATATACGTCTAAAAATAGTTTGAGGATTGAAAAAATTCTTACTTGGATTTGAATTTTTGGATAAAGAAAGATGATCAAACCATTGCCTGCTTACATTGTTACACGTGTATTCGCAAAAAACTTAAAAAATCAAACCAGTCTCACAACCATCATTTACAACAAGTTTCCCACATGCAAATATTTTTTTCTTATACATTTTGGAACCAGAAAATTCTCTCAAACCAACTATACAACCAGTTAGCTTTAAGCTTCAATATAAAAGGAATGAAAATGTAGTGATACTATATTATAATAACATCTTTTTGTTTTAGTATCAGGATCTACAAATCAACCAACAACGATCGAAATGGACAAACGACCAACAGCCCAATTTTTCATTTTCGACGCATGATCCTCAAGTTGCCATCGAGGAAAAACCACTCTATAGTGTCCACATTCCCTACGAATACGCTGACAGTCAAGATAAAAGATCGACAGGTGAGTCATCGCGATAGTGATAAGCAATACCAACTTTTGTTTTAAATACTATGATTAGTAACGGACGGTAAGCTACTTGTATACAAATTCAAAATGCAGAATATAGATGCATTTTTTATATTTCCTTCCGCAAAATTATCATTTACTTATTGATCGTTTCTAAGAAAATTACTGTGCCATCGATTCTCAAAAAGTACCAACTAAAACAGTAGATCGCTCTGTTTCAAGAGAATTTATCAGTCGGTTCGCCGGTTGCTGAGATTGCGCGAACAGGCTAATAGGAGTGGCTAGAAGCTTCATAGTACGGTTAGCCCAAAGCGCTAAAGAGCATATTGTTCCAAACGAATTAAATAAAGAATTTGGACATATACCTTTTTTAAAAGAAATAGTTAATCAACAGTCAAGTTTTACAAACTTTATAGTAAACAAGGTTCTCTAATCTGTGTTTAGAATACTGGACTTGAGAACAAAAGTACGAATTCTAACAATAAAGTCAACAATTCTAGTGACTTTTGAGTGTTTTAAATAATTTCTGAATAAATGTACTTTACAATATTTGGTAGATTATATGTTCCTACTGCGTCAGTGACATGGTTATTAAATCCTATATTAGCTCTAGCAGGAATCTGGTAGAAGTTATTGATTTTTTTTATTTTGAAGATCGTTTCATATTATTCTAATTCCAACCGCTCATCTAGTTTACTAAAATTCAGGTCTGTTTACATATTATCCATGTTGTCAGGTTGGTCATAGTTAAACAAAATTATTAATATTTCATTTTGCGAAACGTGTGCCCCAAGTTTTACCACACTTCCTCCAAATAGGTAAAATATATCTGAAGTGTGACAAGGAAAATGCATTGTAAATGTTTATTTTACTTTTTGTAGTTACGTAGTATCTACTTCACTACAAAGCAGCTGTCATCGACGTTGTCTTATCCAAAAAAGTGTTCTCTTCTATAATTAAAACCAAGTATTTGATGCTTTATACTTTTTCTACTCTGACGTAGTTTACTCTTATACAAAAGTTTTCAATTATTTTATTCTTCTCTTTAAAAATTAGAGCCTGCTGATGATTTCCTTTATAGAGAAGAACTGTGTGGTCAGCAAAAGTACTCGTAAAATACCTTGCATTAAGATTAGCACTTCTTAGACTTAGAACATGAGATAAACATGGTCCTTGGGTGACCCCTGAGGAACATCATACTCACTACATAACGAGTCTATTTGTTTCACCCATTTTCACATATTGTTTCGTGTTAAGTAAATGAGTTTCAATCAAATTATACATAGTACACCTACATCCCATATTTTGAACTTATTCAATCATATATTGACATCTGCCACATCAAATGATTTCTTTAAAGCTGTCAACACCGCTATAACCACTTGCTCTTCATCCAGTGCCCTTGGGATATGAATTACAAATTCAACTGCAACTGAAAGCGTTCTACTTTTTTTATGATCCCATACTGGTAACTCTCAGGTAATGTATTTTCATTTTTGAACGACAACCTTCTTTTTTTTATAACGTTTTCAACAATTTTAGATAAGACGCTGATCACAGATATTTAAAGTTATTTTAAAGTAATTTCACTCAGTTTAAGCTTATTTAATCATTTTAATTATTTATTTGCCATCATGACCGGGTGCTGAACTTATTTTTAATTTCAGTATGGGTTCATTCTCCTCTTGTTCATCAGTGAGGTCTATCAAAACAATGTTATGATGAGAGATATCTATTTACATTATTTACGATATCTACCTTATCATGGACGAGAACGTTCTCAATCTTCAAACAATTAATAGTGGCCCCCTCTGTCCAGCTAAGTTAAACTTAGTGAAAAAATACCTATACTTCTGGTATTTTATTTCATTGTTTAATCGTTTTTAATTTTTATAAATTCCGCAAGTAAATTCATATTTCAGGTATTTCTTTACCTATCCAGAAATAATTTTCACGTATTCTTTCCAACTTGACGTTACATTCTTGAATTATACTAATTAGGTACTGGAATGTAATAATATTCACTGTTTGTACCTCCTGTTGGACAAGACTTTGAAATCAGTTATAATCTACAGTTTTTAACATCCACTGACAGTAACTTATGATCCAACACTCACATTATAGTCTATCTTACTACCACGATCACTGAGAATTCACATATTAAATTGTTTATTTTGCAGTTATTTATTGTTAACAAATTTGTACAGTCAAAAGTCACTAGATAATCTTCTAGCAGGTTTATGGTGATACCTCCTAATATTAAATGATTTCTTGGACGTTTAAGGAGGATTAACTCGAGATACGGAAAAAATCATTATTGCTGTACGATGATGGATTGTAGGTTACACTAATTTTAACACTTTGCTCACCTAAACCAACACACATCTACTTTATGATGTCATTAGCATTAAACACAGAAGAGTAGTCTCTAACTCAAAAAGGCGGTTCTGCAACCAGGATTCATAAACCACTAGTCTTCTTTGAACATACTATATTGCACAAGAACATTATTATTTCTGATGTAGTGCATCAGCTATTCATTTAAGCAATTTTAAGGCGTTTTCCAGGCTCTTATAGTTTTCCAACTGCTCCTTATTTTCAACTAACAGAACTTTAGATCGCTCATATTTCCGTAGGAAAAAGCTTCATTTTCATTAATTTTGAACTGCTCAGTAAATTTTGTAAGCACTGCGTTGCATCTTTTGTTCATTGCATCCAACTTAGGCGTAGCTTTTTGCTTGTTGCTGATCAATTTGTTTTGCTCCATCTTCAGCATTACACAAGTTACACAACTATTGGTGGGAAGACTTAGTCAGCTTCATATAATTTTAGACATTGCCAGACAGGTCATATGCTTCCAAAGACTGCATTTATAACATAACGCATCATCTTCGTCATCAAAAACAGACTTATTGCACAAGCCCTGGGCAATCCACTGGTACTGCTTTACCTTCTTACGCACTTGTGCAGACTAGTCTACGACAACACTAGAACTCACTTTTCATAATTAATTTCTCAATTTTCCAATAGAAACAACAACTTGATCGAGTAAGAGAAGCAATAAACAACACCAGCACATATCGCAATGTATTCTGAACATTTATTTGCCAATACTAAAACTGAAAATCACCAATGAGTAGCCAAACTAAAAAGTTTGTCTCTTTCCAGATACAGAAAAGAGTCCTCCACCAGGTCCAAGCAGTCCAAAGCCGAACTCAAGCGGTACTCCAAATACAAAACGAGCCAGAACAGCTTATACTTCATCCCAACTTGTTCAACTGGAGAAAGAGTTCTACACTAACAAGTACTTGTGCCGACCAAGACGTATCCAAATGGCTCAAGACTTGAATCTGACGGAACGTCAGATCAAAATCTGGTTCCAAAACAGAAGGATGAAATATAAAAAGGAACAAAAACAAAGAACGTCCTCTCCTGGATTAGACAACAGGACCTCTCCTACTCTGTCAGGTGCTGCATCAATTGTTAGTTCAAATAGCAAGCCAAGGGTTCATACGGTGAGGCCTGAGCATCATTTGGTCACTGGGAGGCAGGTTGGTCATAGTCAATGCTTGCCACAAACTGTACAGAGAAACCAGTGGGAAGGTGACGTGTTATACAGCAGCCAATGTCAAAGTTTATACCAAAACTTCCAACTAGATCCGAATTATCAATATCAGCATCCAGTCAACTGCTATCCTGTGAACTACGAGCAACCTGTGGAGGATAAGCCATTATATCAGCCGTACCTCAACATCAAAACAACTGAGCAGCCGCCAAGTGATAACTATTTTTTGGGACAGAAGAGTGAGTGTTCTATTGGTTGGGACAACCAATATTTATGCAACATAGGTGCCTCTGACAGTCTCACGAGTTTGTAAATTTACTCTACTTCTCCTAAGTGCCACACACTTTTTTTTGTTGGTTATTCAAAACGAGAGAAGTAGTCCAAACGAGGTAGCGAATAACTCGCCAACCAAGATTCAATTTTATAAGGACATCTTGCAATGCGACTTTGCAATGCACGGCAGCATGATTCTTTCCGAATGCTTTTGTGCGATTTTTGGCATATTGACCGAATCCAGTAAGAGTTGCACTTGTATATCGTAGGGCTACTGCGAAAACAAGATAACTTATATTTTTATACTTCTGAAATATGTAGATCTTGTACGTTATTTTTAAATAAAAAATCAAATAAAGATATAAAATACTTTTTTATTAACAAACGGAAGTCTAAAAACAGCAGTAAAACATAATCATAACATTTAGAAAACTCTCAACAACCAACACATTTTTTGCCCTTGTATTGTTTTGGGATCAAAATCCTCTGCTGCTGGTTCTGAAATAAGATCCCATGCTTCTTTGGAGGTCGGACGCGATTTTTAATAATAACGATATTTCTTAGGAATAACATTACTTTTACAAAGTTTAAGCTAATCTTGCTTTCCTTTATTGATATTGGTATAATTTTTCTACACGCATCTTTCAATTTGGCTTGACTGTGGAGGTTGTCCTTCTGCTGATGAGTTTTCTAAATCTAAAAAATCTTCAATTCTTCAACGTTATACGGTTTTTTATTCGATCTAGACAATATGGTTATGATGAAAATCGTCAACCAGTCCTGAATTGTGTAAATAGGAACTTCTGCGCCTTTTCAATTGCACTAAGCATAATCTCGACCGCCATTTAGATGTCCCCAGTTTCTAAAAACGTTTTCACTATAGCTTGAATATTTGGATTAATTTGGACCATGTATAGCAAGAGAAAGAGCAATTTTGACTGCGATTTTGACTGATTCTACGATAGTTTGGTGGCATCAGAATATAGCTGATTTATGTAATTGTATACACAGGCGCCAATTTCTAAGCTACCACTCTTTTCATATAGCTTTGTGCTCACGTATTAAAATGATGAGTTGGGAGGGGCAAGTAATCATCATATTTCTGAAACAACCCCTAATTTCGATTCATACCGGTACAACAAAAACCCGACATATGGTACTTATCTTATTGTCACTCTAACGTCCTTATATTAGCACTAAAACAAAACTGCCAAAATGAGATAAGTGCCTTATGACTTATTGTCGCTATTAGAAAACTAGCAATGTCGTACGATAATTTGCATGTTGCTAATCGCAGGTGCATGTCTTGTTTTAGATGTCCTCATGTTGTATTTGTAGAACACGCATACAAATCTCTCCCTCCTAATATTAAGGTATGTGGTTTTGCCGGCACACAGATTATACCATCTTATAAAGGGGTACTTAACCCAAAAATGACAAAAATGTAGTTTTCTTTTTTGGCAGTAACCCGACGATATGTGCGTTCTATAAACTGTAATTTTGATTGTAAGGTAAAATATCAATTTTCTGGGTGATGTTAATGCCTGAGTTTCATAAAAAAATTACTTTTTTGTGAAAATGGTGAACTTCCTTGTCAAGTATTTCATTTCCAAAAATTTGTTTGACTCATTGGATATGTCAATTTGGAATACATATTTTGAATTACAACTCACCAAACCTTTTGTCAAAGTTATTTATGTGCAATCTTACTTATGACGTTGAAACTCATTAGTATCCTCATTATTAATTTGAACTTGTTGGTGTCCTTGACACTGGGTATAGTCATTGGGTTAAAGTCTTACACCGATATGCAGCGCAGAAGCGTTTTTGGTTTACTGAAGTCATTTAACGTCTTTGTAAAATATTTTTCGCCTGTTTATAGCTTTATGTATTTTTACTAACTAATGTAATATTAACGTAGTTATTATTTATACCAATATAATAAACTGACTTTCTTGCAAATTGAATGTTTAAATATACTTTTTCGCCCCTACTCAAGTAAGTCAAGCATTGTGACCAATGCTCATTTCGCATGAATTGACACAACAAAATATCAGTTGAAAGTTATAAGCACTTTTCAAAACTCCAGGTACAGAAATGCTGAGAACTTTTAATGACATTACATGATATTCAGAATGACCACAAAAATTAAAAGCGCTGAAACACTGACTGCTCTAAATAATTATTTGTCCAAAGATTATAAAATGCTCAAAAAATTCACAAAAACAGAATTAAGCAGTACTTCACATGGATTGATGTCTAAATTTTAGGTACAGAATAATGCTTTGACCTGTAACGGTTTCACCGTCCGATCGTATTTATTAAATCACTTCTCGATTATCATTTCATTAATTCCATCTCTAGCTTTTCTACTTGGAAAATTTTCCGCTTGGAGCGCTTGATGCGGAGTTCCTGATCTGCGATCTTCCTCGCGCTTCCTTTTCACTTGAGCCGCCGATCGAACAACGGCTAGAAAATTCTTCTCTGTAGCACAAGGTTATATAGCACCATGTGCTAGAATCTTCTAGAATGTGTGTCCGTATAGGACAAAAATGGTGAGTTTTATAATACTATACAGTTTTATTGCTGGATCTGCCTGTAGTTTATAGATAATCGATATGTAAGTGATTTATTTCTTGTACGATTTTAAAATATCCATCGAACGTCATTTTCGACTACTTCGATCATTCGCCATAACTTTAATCAAATCGAGGTGGAAATCGATCCACATCGATTTTACCTCTGTGCGCGTATATTCATAGTTCAGTGAAATTATAAGTACGTTGATTATGAATATTCGATGATTATGTTTTTATATCAGAAGCATGTGGAGAAATTTTTGATGACCACCATCTTGTTCTACGCTTTTTTTGCTATTTCATGATTTTATTTTATGAAAGGCATTTCCAATTTTCGGTTTGATTTTATCAAACTATATAATGTAATTCTAACCTAGAAAATCGTTGGTTCTCTTTTGAGGCAGACTGAGATTGGAAATGCCTTGGCCATTAGGGCACGTTGCTAATGCACACGGTTCTTTTTCAGATTGGGGCCACCCCCTTTCTCTTTCCCTTTCACTTTGCCTAGCCTTGGCCAATATTTTCACCCATGCATGTACCTTGGCAGCGCCATCGCCTTTAACTTCGCCTACAACTGGTTGTGAAGCCACTATATGGAGGTCACCCCTCATAACTGGGACCTTCCCTTCAAGCCCCTGGCCATCCTGGCTTCAGTCGAGTAAAAATGGACCAGCGAAAGATAAGTCGATAGCGTTATAGCAGCGCCAAAGATGTAAAACTTATTTTGTTATTTTTGTAAAATTGTAATGTAATGAAAATGCCTTTTTTTTTGTTAAATAAAATCTGTTAAATTTTTGTGTTCTGTTTGTTCTTCTATCCTCTAGCCATGCCATGGTCGACATACAGCTACACGCCTGTAGATGTTTTCATGCCACCGACTGAGCTACCGGAAGCTAATTGTAACCCCCTTTCTGTGATTGTGCAGAAAAGTTGGAATCTTCATTGCATTCCATCTTTTCTGGACTTTTTGCGGAAAGGAAGCGTTACATAAATTGGCACCCGCAACGTGAGGCTTCGATAGGTGTTTGGCTTTGTCGACAAGTGGTTTGCTAGTGAAAGATTGGCAGACAGAACATAGTTTTCAAAATTCTTTACAATCTTTGGCAGCATTTCTATTTTTAATTGCTTTTGGTACTCAAATTTCTAATTCCTTAATCATCCTTACTTTTTGCTTAATGTTTAAAATTGTTATCAAAAGATTAAAATTTTTCCACCTGTTTATTTCATAGGCATACTATTAACTTTTAAATTGTCTTGTTTAGTAGTCAGCGAGATCATTGCCAGATTTTTTTTGTCTCACATACTACTACAGTTTTTATTTACTGCTGGGGACAGTTATAACTTTTTTCTCATTGTACTTTTGAGATTGATGATATTTTGATATTTTTTTTGTTGTTGAATATTGATAGTCTGGGGACTTTAGGTTTCCCAGCATTTTTGTCGAATATCATCAAACTTTTGATTGAGGTTGTGACTATTGTTGTTGATAGTTTACATATTCTTATATGCTTTTCATTTTTGATCACTAACCTCTTAGTTTTTGAAAGTATTTCTTCATGTGCAGTTTTTTGATTTCTTGAGACTTTTCATGTACGCATATATAGCCTAATTGTTGGATCTCTGGTGTACTGATATAGCTCTCATGATGTTTGGTACGTAGGAAATTTACTTTCAAAATTATTTTTGCCTTCCCCAAATGTATTTACTTTTTGAATTTTTGACTGTACTTGAACTTTTGATCATTTGTTTTCATTCTGATGGCAATAATCTACTGACTAGAATTATCTGGAGTAAATCATTTTGCGATTTATCCATTTTTCTGAATTATATGAAATTGATATTCATAATTTTTCGTATATTTTGGCGGTTTACTTTTTTTCAAGTATTGACACTTGGACATAGTACTTTGATACTTACCTTTCTTTTTTTTCAAGAAACAAATGATGATTTTCTTGACTATATTTTTGCTACTTTTCAATGAGGGGGTGACTCCTAAATCATTTTTACCTATACAAAGACACACATACTCATTTATGATAATTAAATGTCAACTTGTTGTTGAAATATAGTATACGTTCCTCAGTAACTATTGTAGTAATTTTGTCTCTTGTTTGGAGCATAAGTTTTCATAATTTTAATGTTTTATAGTTTTATCTGGCATATTCTTTGAGGGAAATTAGAACATTAGTGTCTGATTTTCCATTGGATGAACAGGACTTGAACGTCTCTGTACTTTTTTAATGTATGTCAGATATAAAATAATTTTTTTAAGATTCGGCTGCTCTTGTTTTTGTATTGAAACTTTTTGTTTGTATTGTTAGTTTTTTATAGTGTTTCCAATACAGATTTCCGCTCAATCGAAGGGGGCGAGTTTTTCGATCTGTACATTGGAGCGAGTAGGTTTTCCTATATTTATTTCCTAGTACAGATGCGAACGGAGAAGAATTTCCTTTGATAATGATTAAACTTATTTGCTGTAAGAGGCAGCTGATTGTTTACTTTAGACATTTAACATCGTTGATCCTTCAACCTTTTGAAATATTACAATTTGTCCAATACTTATATTTCCGCTCAATCGAAGGGGGCGAGTTTTTCGATCTGTACATTGGAGCGAGTAGGTTTTCCTATGTTTATTTCCTAGTACAGATGCGAACGGACAAGAATTTCCTTTGATAATGATTAAACTTATTTGCTGTAAGAGGCAGCTGAATGTTTACTTTGGACATTTAACATCGTTGATCCTTCAACCTTTTGAAATATTACAATCAGTCCAATACTCATATTTCCGCTCAATCGGAGGGGGCGAGTTTTTCGATCTGTACATTGGAGCGAGTAGGTTTTCCTATATTTATTTCCTAGTACAGATGCGAACGGAGAAGAATTTCCTTTGATAATGAATAAACTTATTTGCTGTAAGAGGCAGCTGAATGTTTACTTTGGACATTTAACATCGTTGATCCTTCAACCTTTTGAAATATTACAATTTGTCCAATACTTATTTCCGCTCAATCGAAGGGGGCGAGTTTTTCGATCTGTACGTTGGAGCGAGTAGGTTTTCCTATATTTATTTCCTAGTACAGATGCGAACGGAGAAGAATTTCCTTTGATAAT